CACAAACTTACACATGCAGGCATAGATCTTAGAGAAAACCCTATCTCCTTCATATCTCAAGACAAATGAAACTTCTTACTATATGCTAAATATTTATCCTTATATTTACAGACAAGAATACAATACAGCACTCATCAAAGAAGCTCCATTTTTTTTAACAGATGGAGGCTACTACAGAATTGCACATCTGGTCAGACATAGAGAACATACATCTGAGAGATGCCTAGTACTAGGTGACACATCTACGGTTGAACGTCTTCAACTAAGGTTCATAGAACATAGTGGAATAAGGGGTAGAGAGAAAGCTAGTGCATCCCTCAAATCTCACCAGTAAAGCTTTCTTATACAACAGAACACAATACACGGGGGAGGGATACAACTGGCCAAGGTTTAAAGAATAAGAGACTGTAGAGTGGCTATGACTCCTATATGAAATCTCATCCACCCATGGCTGAGGGACCATTGCGGAAGAGGGAGCAGGAAGATTGTAAGAGCCAGGGCTAGTTCATGAACACAGGGAAGCAGAGACTTCCAAGGCACTGGAAGCTTGCACATGTGAACATGTGGTAATGGTGGCATCCAGCACAGGACCCATGCCAACTGAATTAAACAAGGGCCCAAAGGGGAGGAGAGAACTAGGTAGGGGGCCGGCACTTGATTGAGAAATATTGAGACTAATTGTGGCTGGGTGAGGGAGAATATGACTTACATATGATCACTAGATGGGCAGACTAGACTCCAGTGGACACAATTACACTGAAGGACATTTGGGTACAAATGCCTGAATGGATAGGACTTAACATGTGTGATGGAATACATGAGGTTTGGTTCAGTGATGGGGGAGGCATGGATAGGGGAGGGGATCTAAATTTGATTAAGAACTGTTGTATGAAATTACAAAAGCTCAACTAAAAATGTAAAAAAAATAAATTTTAAAAATTAAAAATTTAATTACTAATTTCTTGGAGGAAGGAAATGTGATTGGTCAGCAGTATTAATACTTAAAATTATCAACACTGTACTAAAAAGACAGTTCTCTCAAGTTTATTATATGTCTTTCCTAAAAGTCAATCTATGGTGTCAGCCAGAGCACCCACCAACAGATTAATAATAAAAATATGACATATATACACAATGGATTATTATGCATTCATAAAACCATGAAATCATTCATTTATTGCAAATTACAAGGAATTAGAAATTATTACATAATGTGAAATAAGCTAGACACTCAGTAGTGGAAACTATAATGCCAGTGGCATAGAATAATAGAGTCAAATAATGTAGATGCAGAAATGAAGGAGACAGAGAATTCAAACAAAGAGCACAAAACCATGCTACTAGAATTGTAGTCTTGTATTCAATATAGGGTTACACTATTGGTTTGAGTGATCTAAGACTTATTTTGAAAAAACTAGAAGAATATGAATTTTCCAACGACATAGGAAATGTAAATATTTGGTGAAATAAAAGCACTTATTATCTTGGTTCCATTGTTATGTAATTGTATATGGTTACTGATTTACTATACTCTACCCAATGTGCTTAAACAAATATTATGTGCCAATATAATTTAAAAAGTAGCCTATGAAACTCTCAATTTCAGATGCTTGAATATCAAACATATTATTGTAGCCCAAAGCAGTACATTTTACACTTAAGAGTTAATCTATACTTTTATATTCTACCTTAGACCATGTCTGGGTTTAAAAAGAGTAACAGTAACTCACGCTTAGTAGAGCACACTTGCAATCCCATCACTTGGAAAGATGAGTCAGATGACTAGTTTTCAAATAGTTGGTGATACATGGCAAGATCTTGTCTCGAAATGAAAAAGAATAAATGAACAAATGTAAGATTCTGAAAGACAAGGAATGTTTGTCAAACCAGGAGATACATTTTCAGGTGGCAGGAAAAATGTATTGGAGTTTTGTACTCTTAAAATAATTATCACTTATGTACTAGGCTCTAGGTCTTTACAATAAAATTAATTGGATTAGGAACCAGAGGTCTTTGTAAATAAAATTTAATTTACAGGCATATTATAAAATACTAAATGGAAATGAATACGTAACTGGCATCTTAAACTCAAATGCAAAATTCATGAACCATAGTTATGAAAATTTATATGACTGCTGTGTGTTTCTGTTACTCCATCTGTAAACAGAAAATGATTTTTTAAATCACATGTTATTATATATTTCTTAGATTAATTGCTATAACTGGCAAAAAATACTTATATCACTGGTGAGGATATTCTTTAATGTATTAAAAGAATTTTGTATGTGAGTACTGTATTTACATCATTGCCACCCCTCTCTCACACCCATCAAATTCCTTCCATGCCCCCTACTGCCTCCTGAATTTATGACTTCTTCTTTAATTATATATATATATATATATGTATAAACACAAACTCCTGAGCCCATTTAATGCTGCTAGTATGTAGATGTCAATATGAATGAGGCACTTTTCACAAGGCACACCCCAAGATGAAAAGCTACTGGCAACCAATGACTGCTGAAAGGCAGAGAATTGGTTTTCTCAGGAATGATGCACTTGATAGACTATTCAAACTCAAGTGATTAGCCTTAACACATGTACATGTTAGTGTATTATTTGTATTATTGTTAATTATTTTTTATGTGTATAAGTGTTTAACATGTATGATGTAGGTGTACCATCTGTGTGCAAAGCCCATGGAGACCAGAAGACAGTGTGGAATTCCCTGGAACTAGAGGTATGTACGGTTGTTAGCAGCCAGGTGAGTATTGGGTATGGAACCTAGATCGTGTCTAAGAGCAGCCAATCCTCTTTAACTTTTGAACCATACCTCCAACTTTAAGCATAATGCATTCTTAATAATAAATGCTACCTTTAGTTATTGTTATGCCTTTAAAACTGGCATAACAGTTACCCTATTCATGAACTGTACTCAGGATTAATTGACACGATGTTTACACATTTACATTACAATGTTCATTATGCAACTAAGTACATTTAGAGCACAGTGTCTAATATAAAGAGGATGGGAAAATCTCCTCATGAAACTCCTAATGTAATGAAGATTGTCAATCACATACATAACGTAAAACTTTGCAGAATGTGACAATGTGCTAAGACATATAGAAATGAAACAGTTCAACAGATCAAGAAAAGCACGAGCCTTCCTGCTGGAGCCACCATTAGGGGCCTCTTAGATATATATTAACAGTCACTGCTAGAAAGGGATCTGGAATCTGTACCTCAAACAGGAAGGTCTGGGTTATTCCTGATGATCATATAATGTGAGAAAGTACAAGGGCAGTTAAGGCATACTGAATATGAAACCATCTTATAAACTACAGCATTCATAGTGGCATTTTAAATCTCTACATTCTTGGATCTCACAGGGAAAGATTCACATTTCTAAGACAAATAGGAAGCCAGAGCATTGCACACTGATTTTGTGATAGAGTTTAGACCTGTGGTTGATGAAACATGTTCAAAGAATAACAATATGTTGTCAACTCAGAGATAACCCACTTTGCTTTGTTAACTGGGCCAGTTCCCACAGTAGCGAGCTAGGGGAAAATCTGCTGAACTGCATGTTACCCATCGCCCACTCAGGCACAATAAAAGCTGGGCATCCATTTTCAGAATTCCTAGCTACACTGCATCTCACATTAGACATGAGAGAAAACTGCAGCTACTGTATTTCTTGGCAAGCTGCTTGGATAAAAATAGAGATCTGCTGACTAAGTATTTGCTATATCTGCAGACATTTCCCAGCTGGGGAATTAGACTTTTTCATCTAATTTCTTCCCTTTTGAATATTTACTTAAATTAGCTCCTCAACCTTATCTCTTCTATAAAAGATTTCTTTTTGAATTTTGTATTTTTAAAATAAATCCTCATTTATATCTTTAAAATTCTACATTTATTCCAACTGTTTTTAAGTGATAGTTTTAAAACATTTTTATTTATCATTTTTATTTTATGTGTATGAGTGTATTTTCTTCATGTATGTGAGTGTATCTGTTTCATGCAATGTATGTGGAGAACAGAAGAGGGCATCAAATTCCCCTGGAACTGGACTTACTGATGGTTGCTAGTCACCATGTGGGTACTAGGAATCCAACCTGGTTCCTCTACAAGAACAGCCAGTGTTCTTACCACTAAGCTATCTCTCCAGTCCTTAACTGGTAGTCTTAAAATATTTGGTTTCTGCTTTGATATTTAAAATGGAGTTCACGTACTAGTGTTAGAATTTCATATCAAGTCAATTTTATTGAAAAAAGAGAATTTGATCCCAGAACATTATTACTTAATAAATATATTCTGTAAGTACTGATGAGTTAAAAAAAGAAACTAGACAGATTTGAGAACAAGTGTATTTAATCCATTGTATAAGTTTTTGTAAGCACATTCTCAACTTAAGCTCTATCCAGGTATGCTATATAGTGATTTCTTTGTTCTTGAAATAAGTCAACTTATTTTGGTAATGTTATTACCCTTATGTTAGTGCTAAAGAAGTTAAGGCAATGTGGGACTACATATTTTTCAAAGGTCACATAGCTAGTTATTTTCTGTGACGATTAGCACAATGGAAATCCAGCTCCTAAAACTGTCCTCTTAAACACACTAAACTACATTTTTCTGTAATGGCGGCTTTAAAAACTGATAAATTTTCACATGTGAGAAAATAAACATCCAAATGGGACCATGATCTCAGGGTTTACCTTTCTTTTAACTCCTGTCCTAATTCATGACGAAAAGAAAACAACTGACATTATTTGCTGAGTGTTAATAACATGGCCCAAAGGAGAAATATAAAATGGTCTTACTTCCACGTGACACCACCATGCACTCATTCTAGGTTAAAAATCATCCAGTAAATGACAATATTACTGCTAAGGCATGAGATTCTTGTACACATTTAATAACAGAACAAACGGACTTTCTTGTCTTATAGAAAAGAATCCAATCACCATAGGCACATTAAAAAGAATTATAATACCGTTGGTGATGACATTCCACTTTTTGCACCTGTTAGACTGCTGATGCAGGTGATGTGAATAGGAGCCTGAGCCAAAAAAAAAAAAAAAAAAAAAGAAATAAAACAAAAAGAAAAGATTTGTAATGCATGGTTCTCATGGATCCTTCCACTTTAAATGTAGTTACAAAAAGATGAATCAAAAATATAAAATGCCAATCCAAACATTGCTTCATTTACCTAAGTATGTTTACTTGGATGAAGTATGTTTAAGTTTCTTCTTAGAATGAAGAGTGGGCATATCAAGCTTATAAAATAATAAATGTACTTCATTTTATTAATCAGTGAGCGTTGTTATGAGTAGAGCTTACAAAGGCAGGGACAATGTGGTACTCCAGACCACAAACTCCATAGCTCAGTATCCTAAGTTCATATCCAGTAGTACCTGAGAATTACAGGGCAATTTGTTCAACATTCTCTGTCCGAAATGCATTGTATGTAAAATAAGCTGATAATGGCATACAGTTCCTTCTCCTAAGGGTATACTGTGACATAAATAGTATGCTTAGTACATGTTTTCTATCCCCTTAAGTAAGTGTGAGTTCATGAGACCATTTAACATGCCAGACATGGTACTAAGTACTGAGACATTAAAAATGGAATAAAATTTCTCTTCTTTAGAAATGTAGAATCCTTGAGAGTGGTGATCAAATACAGTGGAGGAAGAAAAAATAGTTATAGTTTTAAGGAGATCTTCTCAAATTTTCCTGTTTTGCAAAGTCAATAATGGGATACGAAAAGGTGGCCTGAATGTAGACTTTGCAGCTAAGTTTGACTAAAGCTTCCTTTTTCTGTACTACAGAGAAGTATAGCTATGTGCATTCAAGAAATCCAAAAGGAAAAACAATTTAGAAAGAGAGGATGGACTTTTTGTAAAAATCTCATATTCTTAGTAATCTCTGCAAAAGGAATGCAAAGGGTTAGACTTCCCATAAGTTAAGTCAATCTGCACACTTAAAACAATTCTCTCTCTCTTTCTCTATCTATCTATCTATCTATCTATCTATCTATCTTTCTATCTATCTAATCTATCTATCCATCTTTGTGTGTGTTTGCATGACTTATTTTGAATAAGTAATGAAAACAGCCGAAAGCTACCTCCAAGATACATTGCTCTGGGACAGAGACAGCATATGTATATAAATAAAGTAAAAGACAAAGCTGGAGTTAATCAACAAAGAGTTTGTATTGGTTTCATGGACAGTATTTTTGACTTTTCAAAATTAGGAAGAGTACATTCTATTTACTCCTCACAATATTTTATAAAGGATAACACTGGTGGAAAATTATATTATTTTTCTTATTATTAGGTCTTTTAACTTCCTTATTGATGAAAATGATAGCTGGGTACTATAGGCAAGATAATAGTTAACACAATAATTAGTGTTTCAGTGCTGATAGCTCTCATTTCTTCTGACTGAAGAAAAAAGACTAGTGACAATTATTGATGTTCCCAAAACAAAATCTTTAGAGTCAATAGTAAACATTGTGAAATCGGAAAGTTTCATCATAGATTGCCTAAACTAAAAAAGATAAACTAGGCAGAGGGCCTGCTGTGTATTTAGTTATATCATAGACAAGCTTTCCCAAAGCCACCTGGCTAAACTGAGAAAAATGTAAAATAGTATGAATATGTATTTCTCTGATTTCTTTACCAAGAACCAAAAGTTTTCAAGCTAACCAGTCACTGAGAAAATATTTGATTTCAATTTATTTATTTTTAGTCAGACACACACACACACACACACACACACACACACACTAACACACACATTTTGGGGGTAAAACTTAAGTAAATTGAAATATTTCTGGATAAAACCAAAACATGTTTCCCGCAGCACTACAGTACTAAAACTAATGTTTACACACCAGCTATGCAGCTTGTACCAGAATGAAAAACTCAATGGACACTATATATTTGGCATGTGCAGTCCTGAAGCGAGTATTGTCTATTAATTAAGTACTTAAAAATATTTAGAGCGCTTCATTCAGAATTATGAATAAAGTACTAGCACAAATTTGAACTTTGTTATAGTTTCAGAAAGCATTTGGTAAATTTACATCATAAAAGAACTTGTGCTGAGTTTTTATTTTAAGAATTAAAAAAAAATGTTTCGATTGTTTGTAAAGTCTAATAGTCTCAGCAATTCACACACACACACACACACACACACACACACACACACACACACACACACACACACACACACACACACACACACACACACACACACACACACACACACACACACACACACACACACACAAAGAGAAAAAAAAACGGGAACACATTTTGCCAAGCCACTATTTTGGGGTTATCTACTATTGAGTCACATCTAACATATATGAAAAGAATAGTGGATTTCTTCATTTGGCTCATAGCCTGAAAATTTACCAGGGGACTAAAAAGTAGTACTTTTCCTTGATTAGTAAAGATGGCCACTTTATATATGTCTGGAATTGAATTCAGCTTTTATTTTGAATTTATAAAAGTAGACTGAGTTAATACAAAATTCAAGCTGGACAATTACTTCACTGGTAAAAATGGTAAATAACATATTTTACTATCTTTTAAAAATCTTTTAAATGTGAGTTTCATGAATCCATGGCACATGTAATAGAGGAAAAGACATTACAGTTCTCATATAAACTAGGGTTAGGGCTTGGCGTATTGGTGCATGCCTTTAATCTCAGCACCCAGGACACAGAAGCAGGTGGATCTCTGTGAGATCAAGGCCAGCGTGGTCTACATAATGAGATCCAGATCCAGCTGGGGGTACAGAGATATCCTGTCTTATAAATCAAACACACGCCCACAGACACACACACAAACACATACACACTCACACACTAAAACAAACCGATTAAAAAATTGGCTGCTACATATTGGTTATACAACTAATGGAAAATCAGTATGTCTCCCTCATTTAATCTTGTAAAATTCCTACTTCACTAATAATCCCAGGGATGATCAGGCATCTCTCTTGCCACATTTTACAGTTGGAGAGCATGAACAATTAGGAATTGTTTATTTGGAATCCTTCACAAAAGTATTTCTTACCACCATTTGAAGACATTTTCACTGTCATTACAAAGATTGTGTATAAAGTGTAAAAATGGGGGAGGTGGCAAGGGAACAATGGATTTCCATAGAAAATTAATTTGGGTTATATTTCCAGGTAATTGGTATGTGAGGGATCAATCCACCATGTTATCCACAGATGCCCAATAATGTCTAATGGTAGGCAGACACTGGCCAAAGAATACTCCTAGCCCTATAAGGCAAAAAGTAATAAACAGTTAAAAAATGAATAAAATGATTTATTTATAAATGTAATTTGCAGCATAAGATTTTCCAAATTCTACTTTGTTCCTCTTCTTTCCAAGTTTTCCATTTTGTTACCCAGTTAGATGATCAAACACCATTTTCTTCGTGTTGCATTTAGAAATAAGTATAAATGAAACCATAGAGCTGCATGAAAATTAGATTTCTTCTCAATTTTTCTCATTCAGTTTAAATAAGTATTGTCACTATGCAAAACAGTTTTAATATTGTTAGTTTTGATTATTTTTCTCCTTAAATTCTAATAAGACAAAATAATATGAAGTACCATGATAGGCATGTAATTAGCTGGTATATACGTTACAGTACTCATTTGTGGATGCATTTGATAAGGCCTCTAGTCTAACAAGGACCAGCAGGTACTGTAAATTTCTTGGCCATCTAGCTCAATATGGAAACAATCATTTTTCTACTTTTTCCTCAGGATGCAGCTCAAGGAAATAAAAACATTATCACTTTACATTTATTTGCAAAGATTGATGCATGTTAGCTTTGGCAACTCATGTGAGATACCAGCATGTGAAGGATATCAAGGTAAAAGATTAATGGAGCATTTTTCATGTACAACACATGGTGAACAGAAAATACACATATTTCTTTTTTTTTAGTGATTATTACATGACATATTTCAATGATAGCTTCTCCAAACTTAAACTTTACTGCACTATACAAAATGATACTAGAGAGGTTTAAAAAAACGCAAAGAGCTATTTCATTTCATCTCTTTATTGGTTAATAAACTTTAGCCAGAAGATGCAATCAGTCTTGACTTTACAATACCATCTCCATCGCTAATTTTCAAAATGATTTGTAGAGGAAACATTCAACAAAGTCTCACTACAGTAAAGAGATTTTTAATGTAATATTATTATTAAAATTTCAAATAAAAGAAAAAAATCTTCCTGAAACAAGCAGGTGTTTTCATTTTTAAGTCACTAATGCAAACCATATCATGCTCTGCTATGTCCCAAATAGATCTGAGAACAGGGTAATTCTTCTAGTGAACTCTACAAAAAATATCTTAGGGAATATACAGAATGGGAGTCTTTAATAGGTGTGAGTATATGGGTTTCAGCAATTACATTTGTAAGAATCTATTTTCCATTATGGACACAAAATATGTAAAGCTGTGTGTTTTATAGTTCAAACCATATGTAAACCAAATTCAAAGCACCATATTTTCCTCAAAATGAATAGATGAGCACTCCCCTCCAACTGGACTTACATCTATCATCCTGAGCTGATCATGAATATGTCACAATAAAGTCCATTAATTATCTCTATCATAAGAGAAACCTGTAACTAGATGTGGGTAGCAGGACTGAGTTCAAGGCTATCCTGGTATCAAGACCATCAAAAAAAAACAAAAAAAAAAAACCAAAAAAAATAAAAAACAAAAAAAGGGAGATTAGGCAGCATTTCACCAGGGGAATTTTTGATCTAAAATCAATTGTTGAGCCCAAAACTGTTGGCAGTACTTAAAAGCTATGTTAATTTCAATAAATTTCATGTGCATTTGGCAGGGTCACTGTTGTTACCCAGTTGACAGCCATACTTTCTGTGGGTGATGCTGGCCCATTGCCTCTATAACAGCTGTTTAGCTGGCTGGGTATGCTGTTATTTAATTGAAAACAGACCGCTCATTACAAAGCAAAGAAGAGAGCATAGATTTTTCTCAATTCAGCTTCCAATA